AGTTCAATGGGAACGTCAGCTCTACTCACAGCATTGTGGGAAAATTATACTACTAGTCCTTTGTCACCTTAAACGAAATAGGGTGAATACATCTCATATTAGTAATATACCTCACGAGGCCGGTGGATTTCGCTTAAGCTTGCCTCTTAAAAGGCTTTACCACACAGGCTGGACTTTGGTTCTGACCTCATCTTGGTGCCAATTGTTCTCCCAACGGCATTCGATACCGTATTGTAATAACTTCTCTTAAACAACCACGGGTGCCAATGAGTCACAGGGAAAATCTAACTTTCAAGGCTAGTCAGGCCTCAGGGGAATAGAATTTATAATTGGATTTTTGATACAAATAATGAAGTTACTTCCATTTGATTCGGGTAGTTTCCTAGACTATTTTTAAACTTTGCAGACTAACTCAAGTTACCCCATCTTACTAAAATGTGATCGGAATGCCATTCACATGAGTGAGTGCGATTTTACATATGTATTTTGGTCACATTGGGAAACATTGCGGTGTAACACAAAAGGTAAGTAGCACAAAAGTTGTTTGACCTTGTTTTCGCAACTTGGTCATATTGGTAGGAGGACTTAGAGGAAAGCTTATAGTCCGAAGTACATTGTATGCATGATAATTTCTAGATGGATCGTGGACGTCGTACATTCCCAAACGTTTCGCCGGCATCGTCAGTAAGCATTGCCAGTCTTAGCACCACACTGTAACTCGCCAAAGAGACAAGTGAAACCGATCCTTTGACCATTGGATCGGCTTCATTTGTCTCTGACGAGTTGCAGTGTGGTGCTAAGACTGGCAATGCTCACTGACGATGCCGTCGAAACGTCTGTGAATGAATGTACCATGTCCACTGTCCGATCTTGAAAATGATCATGCATGCATAGGACTCCGGACTAGGTGCGTTCCCCTAAGTCTTCCTGCCAATATGACCAAGTTGCCAAAATCTGTACAACGAAAGGTGACTGCGACCACATAAGGGGCTACACCATCTTGGTCTTTATACTTTCGAGTAAGTTGTACAGTTTGTGAATGAAAAGCATTTAATTATAAAATTAGCGTTATTGTACAAACCATATTACCTAACAATTAAGGTCATTATTTTTGTTACTAGTAGACAAATAGATTATTTTAATAGTACATAAATTGCAATTTTACCCTAGAATCAGATGGAGGAAAGCATTCATGCATATCAATAGGAAAATAATTACCATTACCTCACTACCTGTTCTGACCATCGTAATTATACCATTGTGTGTAAAACTCCACTATCAGTCTTTACACCAACTTAAACGACCTGCAGGGACCAATTGCTAATTAAGGAATCAGGGATATCATCGAAAATTTTCCTGCCCAAAAATCAATTGTAGTATTCATATTTTGAGTGATATAACTTTATCTTTGGGCTTGATTACTCAAATATTTCTGCTTTAATATTAGGGAAATGTGGACTAAGGGAGATCTTACCTAGCCGAGGAATTACTCTCTATTTATCAAACTGTCCTGCATCTAGGCTCCTCCGTAGACATTAATCTAGTGACTGTTTATTTTCCTGAATTCCTATTAGTTTAGCCGTAGTAAGAATGAGCATGTTCACGAGAGCTACTCTTGAGAGGAGATCATTAAGTTTCGTTTCATAAGTCGGTTTTTGAGACTACCATGAAATCTGATGTAAGAGCTGTATTTCGTTTAATATGATAAGGACTGTTGGTTGAATTTTCCTATAATGTTATGAGTAGGCCACATCTTTCACATAGTTTTGCTTCCCGAAAGG